ATAACAAAAAGTAGTTTGGGCTTATAAAAAAATAATTTTTGCCCAAAGTATTTGGGCAATTTCAGCTACTAATAGAAACAGTTTCGATCAGAAACCTTATTTCAGAAATATGACTATAAATTTTTTTATGGCTATCTATTATCTCTTCCTTTGTCCATGAGGGCATTATTAATTTTCTTGCAGTTGTAGACTGTTTTCGAAATTGTTTCATGGCATCATCATCTGGAGAGCTAATAAAAACCTTTTTGCATTTACATCCAGAGTTTTCGGAACTGTTGTGTCCATGATATACCAAGTTTTATCATCCAGTAATTCTTTTTCAAATTCTCCTTTGAAAATACAACCGTTAGGTTGAAATTTATGTTGATGCTTCTTTAAGAAATGTTCATATTTCACAGTTTTCCCCTGTTTAGTCAAATGTATCAAAAGAAAAAGGCCAAACATTGATTTTCCAATGCCAGGATTTCCAGTGACAATCCAACCATTATACTTTTTATCTTCAGTGATCAATTTCCACAAATCCATATAACATTCACGAATTATGAAATTGGATCCAAAATCCTCACTACCAAAGATATTCACATCATCTGGAAAGGAAGTAAACTTATCATCTGGATTAATCATTAATGATAAAGCAGCTTTCCAAAATTCAATTATTCTTTCACTTGCCAGTTCTAAAAAATGAAAAATTCTATATAAGAATGTGCTAATAATATTACATACCTGCTTGCTTGAGTCTCTTGCTTTCATTTCTCTCATCAAAAGAAAATGACTGTCTTCTTTTTCCTGTGAAAGTTATTCAATGGCATAAAGGAAATAGTAATTGTGAACAAATGTAAAGAAAATAAATATAAAAAAATAAATAAAGAATGAAACAGATGACAAGTTTAATTATAATTGTAAATAGTAGTTCAAATATTCTACAGACAAATAAATAAATAAATGAAATGAAATGAATGGAAAATATTTTTTTTACCTTCTTTATCGAAATCAACCAACACACCCTGTAACATTATCACATGCTTTTCCAGCCTTTCTTTGCTCTTCTCCTGCCTCTTCTTTGTTTCTTTCAACTTCTCCATTCCCCACAATTCTTTAAACTTCTTCACATTTTCCTCCTCCATGAATTCTCTTAACTCCTTCTCCGCCTTTCTATAATCCTCTCTCGCTTTATTTAATTCACTTTCGATTTTCTCGTATGTTGCCATTTTTTTAAAAAAATTTTTTTGTTGATTTAGATCTATTTTTAGTAATGTATGATCTGTAATAATAATTTCGTGATTTGTAATAAATCCATTTCGTGAATAATATTATTATCAATTATAATCATTTTAAAAATTTTATCTTTGCAAATAATGTATTTTATTGTTATATTTATCAATTATGTCATTTAATATCTCGACATTAAATAAATTCGCGATTTGTTGTCTCATCATTAAATAATTCATGATTTATTACCTCATCATTAAATAATTCGCAATTTGTTGTCTCATCATTAAATAATTCATGGTTTATTAACTCATCATTAATAATATACGATTTATTATGTTCAAAAATATGTATAAAAAGGGTAGATTTCTCCCAACCTTCTGAATTTCTCAATAATCGGAATTATCTTTTCTAACTCGTTTATTACCTGTCCTTTTATTTTATTAACTTTTCCATCTCTTCTTAATAATAACAAACCAATTATAATTGTGGAAGGAACATCCAGTAGATTCGGAAGCAAAAAAGGAAGAAAATTAGTTACATTTACTAATATTCAAAAAAAAAAAGAATTATGTGAATATAAGAATGCCAATTCAAGCAAGACATGTGAAGAAATTGGTGGATAAATTCGGAATTGGTAAATCAAATGTAGGAGATATCCTTAGAGATAAGGAGAAATGGCTTGCAATTACTAAGAGTTCAGCTGATACTAAACGAGATCGTGGAGGTGAATGGCCACAATTGGAAGAAGCATTAGCAATTTGGATTGATAATACCAATAGAGCCAATTATACCATAACTGGTTCCATCATTTGTCAAAAGGCACTGGATTATGCTAGAAGACTCGAAATTATTGGATTTTACAGCCTCACAAGTAAGTATCAATTTTTTGATTATTTTATTTATTAAATTTCATTTTATTTTAATCATTTTATTTACTATTTAATAGGGATGGCTTACAAATTTTAAAAAAAATAAAAGGTGTAAAAGAACATTACAAAGTGGGTGAAACAGCAAGTACACCAATTGATGACTTACCAGAATTTAGAGCTAAATTAAAATCTTTATATGACTTGATGATGTATATAATGCTGACGAAACTGCTCTCTATTGGGAGTTAGAACCCAACAACTCTCAGTAGTGGTCCTATCACTGGCACAAAAAACCTAAAGATAGAATTACAATAATGCTTGCATGTAATGCAACTGGTTCTCATAAATTGCCAGCTGTATTTATTCATAAGTATAAAAATCCAAAATGTATTCGTGATATTGATAAGAAAACAATTCCAGTATGGTACTATTGGAATAATTCATCATGGATGCAACGTTCAATATTCGAATCAGTGATGTTTTTATAATGTTTCAACATGAGTGTAACAATTAAAACCGCTACGAATATAATTTCTTTTTTATTACTATTTTTATTTCGTTTTTCAGACGTTACACGATATATTTAGTTCTATTAATTGAGTATATTAATTAGTGGACTGGAGGACATTGATTTATCTAGTTATGTTTCCTTCTAAGTTCTTTAAGAGTCTCATGATACTTTCTTTTTCCAACATTTATTATTATTTTTTCTTGGTAAATTTCATAGGTAATCCTTCCTTTTCTTAGATAAGCTCAAGTGTTTGAGTATCATTTATTTTGAAGAAAATTTCTTAGCAAACACATAGTGTATGTAGACGTGTCACGCGCATTACATAATAAAATTTGCATCAATAAAAAAAATTAACTTTTTTTTAAACTTTTTTAGAGTGAATGTTTTGCTTGAGGGTTTGGGACACCCTGAAACACGTAACATTTCATTTTGCATCTTACATATGATTCGCATGTGCGTATATATAACACAAGACAAGGTTGATTTGTGAAAATGATGGGATAATCTGATATGATAAAATAAAGTGATGGTTAGAGATTGTGTGGTTGGCACTTGTTCAACTTCCCAAAAATGGGCCAAAAAAGGTTGTTTGGATCGAATGATGGGATGATCCAATGTGATTGTGAACCAATATAATGTAAAATAATGTGCAACATAACTCCGTGTTTACACACATAGTGTACAAATAGAAACTGCCTAAATGTAAAATATACTATATGTTTGCTATTTTTAATTTAACAAATGTTTTTTTATTATAATTAGCACAACAAATTATAATCAATAAATTTTTGTTGAATGGTAAATAAAGAAAACCTTGGCATTTAATCAACACCAAGTAATAATCATATGAAATCTAGGGTCTTCGGAAGCAATAATTCATGATTCAAAGCATAATTCATGACACAAGACATATAGTTTGTGATGCAAAGCATAGTTTGTTATTTCTTATTATAATAATAAAGGAAGACCCTAATTGTAATCAGCAAGAATTATGTATTTTATCCTATAGTAATAATCAT